TTATGTAAATCAATCCAAGGGTCCAGGTGAAGCCACGTCGATAACTCGTTACCCCGCCGTAACCTCCAAAGTCGCATTCTTCAAGTAGTAACTTTTAATCGTGTTTCAAACCCAGGTTTAGTCTTGGGCCTGGACATCTACGTAGTACATTGGGTACTTCAACCTCGGCCTCGGACTTGAACATTTTCTACTTTTGTCATCACAACCCAACAATATAGTCAAGTATAAATTATTTAAAAACTAAATATATCAATTTACGTATTTAAAGATTTCTTGTAGTACATTTTAAACTTGTAACATGCCTTAAAAATTTTGATGTTGTGTTATATTTATACATCAAGAATAATTTTCTCTTAAATATTTGTCTAATAATGATTTATCATATGAATCTGCAATTCAGTGAGTCGAATTTAATGATATATTTGAGTTTAAAAAAACCATGCTTGTAAATTGTAATGATAGGGCTGGAGTCGAGCTTGAAGTGTTGCAGGTGAGGTCCTCACTTCAGGTTCAAACTCGAAGGGATCAAAATTCTGAACTTTTTCCCCTTTTGCCTCGGATGTAATTGTTACAATAATCTATATAATTTTTTTTTTTTAAAATCGAGTTTATTAGTAATGCTTCAAGTTCTCTTTATTGTGTTCAAATACCAATTTTTCCGCTTGTTCCTTTCCATTTTATCTTTTTCTTCTGAGAAATTTGTGCAATCAGCCCCCAATTTTGCAGTCTCTAACGAATTCACCCCAATGTTTAAAAGCGAACTTTTTAATTCTCTAACTTTACTTCATTTGCATATTTAATTTTTTTACATTATCTTGTCAACTTCTCCTTATTTTCATTACGTTTAGAAAGGTAAAGTTGACAAAATATTAAAACACTTAACTCATTCATTTTAAACCTAAATATTTCCTTTGTTTTCAATTTCAAAATCTAGAAAAAGAATTGCTAAATTCATTTTTACGCACAAAGTTCATCAAAAATCAAAATATAGTTGACTGCAAGGTCATTTGCAAAAAAAAAAAAAAAAGAAAAATTGTATGACACTTTCGAAGAAGTATTGCGAGTTTATCAATTTTTTAGCTTAACTTGAATATAATTGTATTTTTTTACTTATTTATCAGGAATGAAATCATTACATTTTGTTTACTTTATTTTGTATTTATGGACATAGATCATTTTTATTTTCAATTTTTTTCAATTTTTCAATTTGTATTAAGTAGAACTTGATTGTTTTAAGGCTAATTAGCATAAAACGTCCCTACCTTTGTGGTTGATTTTGGAAACCGTCCATACCTTTCATTTCTTGGCATTTATACTCTTACCTATCACTTTTCGTGCGTTGCAGGTCCTTTTCACCCTATTTTGACCATTTTACCCTCCATTCAAATAA